GTTTTTATATGGAAAGAGGAGGGAAAATCAGAGTAATATTTTTACCATTTATCCTGGCTTTGGAGAAAAAGGGTTCTGGTTTCTATAACTCACCTTGGGGAAGTAAGATTCTAGCTTCTCTGGCTAGCCTCGGAGAAGAATGGGACTGAGACAAGAGGGCAAGATGTCAAAGAAAAACTTTTGCTTCTGAGGCCTACATTTGGGGTATTGTTTTCTGAGTTCCAACATATACAAGGGCGGAGGGAGAGTACCCAAGGAAGGACAGATCTGGAAAGATGCCCCATTTACAGGGCTAAGGTCCAGACCTTGCTGGAAGTCTATTGTAGTTGCAGTCCAATGGACTGCAGAAAAATCTGCCAGTTTGAGGCAGACCTGGTCTGCAGTCACTGAGCAAACAGGAAGCAACCCTCCAGATGGCAGGTGAGGCGTAGTCAGGCTGCAGGCAAGCTCCGGACAGCGTATGGATGCAAGGGCATGCAGAGGGAGTGGGATCCCTAGTGGTAACCCTCTAGCACATAAACAAGGCTATAGCCAATGGCCAAGTATGTGGTCATGCTGAGGAACTGGGAGTGTCAATGTGGCAGGAGGCCTGGAGTGTACCATATCCGGTCAGGAGAGCTGGATGTTATAAGGACTGTGGAATACCAAACTGGGAAGGACTCTGGAACAGAGGGAGTCAGGACACTGGAGCAGATGCACGGTGTCCATTTAAAGATGGCAAGAGCACTCTCACCAGACCAGTCTGGAGCTGTAAGGGTATCAGAAACCACACATTATGGGGCTGTGGCTGGCATAGTGCACCACCAGATACTCTCAAAGTCACAATGTTAACCCACCACAAACTGGAACAGCAGAAATCCCTGCCACTTGCAATGCAACTGTAGTGCTCACTACTGAGAAAGCACAACATGTGTTTACTGGAAAGGAGAAATGCCTAAAGCAATTCTGTCTATTATCGCTGAGTACATATTGAAGGTGAATTTGAAGCTGAGGTGCAATACATTGATAACTGGCACAGTCCATTCCATTGGTTGCCTCCATGTGAACCCCTGGACACACATCCAAATTCCCCTGTAGCAGCAAAACAACTTTTTCTACCTAACATGATACATCAATCCTTGTAAGTGAAGTGCTCAGTTTTACCTAAAATTAGATGACCAGGATTTTCAAGTGATTGCAATTATCATAGGATCTATTAAGTATTTCTCAAATTCAGTCAGGTTCCCACTGAGTATTATCTTACTTAAGGACAAGTTAATCTCCTTTGAAGTTGTGCATAAAATTTAAAATAGGAACCAGGATTTTTAAAAAAGAATGATACATATATATAAATAAATGCATCCATATGATAAACATAGAGAAATATACAAAGTAACAATAGTCTTTGTTTCTGTAATTTCTCAAGGTCTGAGCTCTTCAAGTTCAAATTATAATTTTCTCTCACTCTCAGCTAAAATCTCAAAAGCTTTCTTTACGTCAGTTCTTTACTTAGTGAAGCTATCCAAACTTTCATTTCCCAGGGGTCTCAGTCTTGACCTACTACATTTGATGTTGTTGAGGTAAATTTCCATTAACATTTCCTATTGAGCACATGAAGTACAGAGAATAATGGCATTGCAAAGACGTCCACATCCTAATACTTGAAAATTTAGTATGTTGTGTTACAAGACATATGGGAATTAAGATTGTTGATTTAGGCTGGGCATGGTGGCTCACGTCTGCAATCCCTGTGCTTTGGGAGGCCAAAGTGGAAGGACTGCTTGAAGCCAGGACTTTGAGACCAGTCTGGGCAACAAGACCCTGTCTCTACACATGCACACAAATTAAACAGGTGTGATGGTGAGCACCTATAATCCTAGTTATTTGGGAGGCTGAGATAGGAGGATCATTTGAGCCCAGGAATTTGAGGTTACACTAAGCTATAATTGCACTACTGCACTCCAGCCTGGGCAACAGAGCAAGACTCTGCCTCAAAAATAAATTCTTTAAAAGATTGCTAATTTAAAATAGGGAGATTATCCTGGATTATCTCAGTGAGCCCAATCTAATTACAATGGTTCTTAAACATGGAAAAGGCAGAAAAGGGAGAACCAGAGACGGCAGCTGAAAACTCAGTCCACCACTGCTGATTTTGAAGATGGAGGAATGAAACCATGAGTCCAGGAATGCAGGCAGCTTCTAGAAAGCTGGAAAAGGCAAAGAAACAGATTGTGCATTCGGAACATCTAAGATTGCAGCCCCACTGACACCTTCATTTTTGCCCAGTGAAAATTTTAGACTCTTAACCTCCAGGACTCTAAGAGAACAAAACTATGTTGTTCTAAGCCAGGCGTCCCCAAACTTTTTACACAGGGGGCCAGTTCACTGTCCCTCAGACCGCTGGAGGGCCGCCACATACTGTGCTCCTCTCACTGACCACCAGTGAAAGAGGTGCCCCTTCCTGAAGTGCGGCGGGGGACTGGATAAATGGCCTCAGGGGGCCGCATGCGGCCCGTGGGCTGTAGCTTGGGGATACCTGATCTAAGCTATTAAGTTTTGTAGTAATATGTTACAGAAGCAATAGAAAATGAACACACAAATTTTTATCTCCATGGATTACTTGAAAACTTGACTCATACATTAAGAGCACAAATAATAGCCATTGAGTCACTGAAGAACTTTTAACCTTTTATTTGAAAACATACCATGTAGATAGCATACAACCATTCACAGTGCACTCAGAATTTCTTCTCACAGGCAACAATGGATTGCAGCCACGATCCCCCGTCATAGATACTCCTACCATCTTCTTCACATTTCATTTTGCCCTGCATTTGGAAGTGCTATATGTTGAAGAGCAGTGTGTCCAGGATGTAAACTTAGTGCTAAAGTATCAAGCTATTATCATCTTCACACTCCTTTCAAAACAAAACAATTTTCCCTTATTCTTACCAAAATCCTGTTCTGATATCTATATAACTGGGATCAACATAAAGTATTCTAGAGGTTGAAAAAATGGAATTTAGAAACCAAACTGTCACTTTCCTCTAAACGCAACTCCAGCCGTATCCTTCAGCTGCTGAAGTACTACAGAAGTTGAACAACCACTCATTGTGTCTGTAACACCTTCTTCCATAAGAGTGATTAATTCAATCTATGATATTCCCTCTTATATACCTTAACAATGTTCAGGTCCCATAAGATGTCCTTCTAGATACATTGTGTTCTGAATAGAATCTCCAAGCTTTGGAATCTTGGAGCTTTTTCCCCTTACAGGGTATTATCTAGTAATAACTTCCCCACACCACTAAAATCCAACTCACCTATTTTAAAGGACCCTAGGCTTAAAAGCATCAGCAAGCTCTTATACAGGTATACTAAGGCCATACTCCATATGCAAGGAGGCACACTTCTGTTGGTAAAGGTATGGCTGAAAATTCAATCCTATGTTAAGTGAGAAAACCTCTTAGTATTAAGTCATTTGTTCATAGCAAAGGCACAACGTACGACAGATTCACTGCCTTAAAGGCAGGAAAAGCTTATAACACAGCAGTGGCACACACTTGATGGCAAAATTATTAAATACCCCGGATTTTTATGAAATATGACCAACCCAGGATCCATGCATTGTTCCCTGGAAGCAGACCATCTTCATGTGGAGTTTCTGATGTTTTGTCAAATGAGTAACAAGTAAGACTTTCAAATCCTACAAGTCCACTTTAAAGCATGTATTGCTTACTCATTGAAGGAACAAGACCACCACATTATAAGGTACAGAGATGTAAAACACATCTGGAATTAGTCATGTGATGTTGAATGCAGAGGATTGTTCAAGGTTTTGCAGATAAAGTCCAGGTAAACAAAATTCCTTTGACGCAATGAAAGTGCCGCTTGGAGAATACCAAGATGGCAAGTTCGGCTAAGACCACGAAAGACCAACAGCTTGATAGCAGACACACAGGAAATGTGGGTCAATTTCTTGAGAGCAAATCAATTTAGAGATTTGACTTGGCGTTTAGCCTCATCCATATATGGTCAAGATGATTCAAAAGTTATCAGCCTCATTTTTGATTGCCAGGATCCTAGCAACGATTTTTTTCCACCAAATTCCAGAGTATGATCAGAAGTTATTTTTATGAGTTTTGCTTTTAATAAGTTCACCAAGGCATACATTTATATGAAAAACACAAAAATGTAATCGAAACCTTTTAGAAAATTGGGCAATTTAAATACACAGCCAAGATAGTGTATGTAGTATAGTAGCAGTTCTCAAACTGTATTAAACATCACAGTCTCCCATCAGATTGCTATCCCTCACCCCGAGTTTCTGAATCAGTAGGTCTACAGTGGAACCCAAGGTTTTGCATTTCAATTGAGTACCACCATGCTCCTGGTGCTGCTAGTTTAAGGAGTACACTTTTTAAGCCACTGCATTAGAACATGAAAAGAGGCAGGAAGATTGTTTGAGGCCAGGAGTTCGAGTCCAGCCTGGGCAGTATAGTGAGACCCTGTCTCTACAAAAAGCAAAAAACAAACAAAAAAATGTTTGCTTTGTGTAGCAAAAAGAAAAGCTAAATAAATAAATAAATAAATAAATAAATAAAAATATATATATAGCTTTTTGTAGAGACAGGGTCTCACTATGTGGTGGCACATACCTATATCCCCAGCTGAAGCGAGAAGAGAAATTCCTTTCTTTTCAGGAGGCTGAGAAGAGAGAATTGCTTGATATTGAGAGTTCCAGGCTGCACTGAATTATGATTACACTGCACTCTAGCCAGGATGGCAGAGTGAGATGCTAAATATATTAAAATGAAGAAAAACATGGAAAACACTATTTCAGTCTTGTAGGAGATAAGGATGTCATCAGCCAGTGCTAAGGGATTGGGGTATCTGTGTCAGGGTTAGAATGGAGATTTCCCCAGTAAGTGTTTCTGTTTTGACATTTGGTCCTAAACTAATTGCCTTTTCATCTCTGGATAAAGTTTAGAGATTTCCATCCATGGAGGAAGTATGTTCCTCTTATTTCTTCTGAAGAATCTCCTCTATCTCCTTGCTATGAAGCTGAGTATTCTGTTCTCTTTTCAACATCTCTTCAAAGATCTCATTATGCATGTAAAAGAAGATGTACCCAGTGCAACGCCTATCCTGCTGCATCTGGGCCTCCTGGATACTTAACACCTTCATATCATTGTAAGTGAGCCAGGTCTGCTTCTCAAAGTCATAGGCATCACAGACATAATGGCCTGAATTTAGAGTCTTCCCAAGATGGCTGACAACACTAATGAGCCGGTAGGTATGATCTCCCTTATTGGCATTTCTTTCTGTTTCCTTAGCTTTAGATTTTAACTGATCTAAAATGTCTTTGTTTCTAGGGTTCTTATTGGAACCCAATGCATGCAAGGAATTCCTGTTAGGCTTCTGAACATTTAATTTTGTAGAGCTTTTGAGTTTCTCTTTGTGCCCCTGGGCACCTGGCTTTGGAAGGCTTTGGGGCAGTGCCTGCTTAGGAACTTGTTCACGGATTCTCTTACTATCATAATTCGGAGTCTGTTCAGTCACTTTTTGGAATCCTTCTGGAACTCTGATATTTTTATCTTCAAAAAAATCTTTAGTAGGATTGAAAACCCTATCAAAAGCTGCAAACTTACTCATTTTCACGTATTTCTTTTGTTTTGGATTTTCAGGCACTGCTTGAAACGGGGCTTCTGGAAAACATGTGTCTGGGATGCTGGTAGGTTTACCTCCAGCTTTGTGGCACCGAGAAAGTGAGATGTCTTCCAGATATGCCATTAAGTAAGCTAACGGCTTGTTTCCGATGAATGCTCGATCTCCTGAGTATACAAATTCTGGCTCATTTGGTTTTGACTTTTTCCCAATATATTTTTGCTGCTGTCTTCTGCTTGCTCCTTTAAAGACTGTCTGGAATTCTCGTTGTTCAGACTCCTTATCAGATCCAATGTATGCAGCCAGGATATCTTTGGATTTTTTTGTCGAAGGCCATGATACACTGATGCTTCCAGAAGTCATCTTTCGAATAACTTTTAATACTTGGAAATCCATAATGTCTGCATCCTCACTCAAGGGAAGAGGTTGTTTGGTGCCTTCACTGCAATGAGAAGATACCGTTAAATATTTGGAAATGATGACTTCCTGGTCATTCTTCTTTAATGAACAAAACGCATTCAAGCTATAGCGTTTCAGATGAACAATAAGGACTCTAGGTAGTCTACTGAATGAGTGCACTCCAACAGAAGTCTTGTGCTTACAGTTTGCACACTTATACTCAAGCTCTTCTGCTGCAAAATAAAGATCAAAAATAGACTGAATAGATGATGGAAGTGCTTTCATTCCTTGAGGAAGGTTGATGGAGAGATAATTACTCAGTTCTGTTTTGAGAATAACCTGACCACAAGCTTTACAAACAATAGAGTGCAACAACTCTAACTCAAAATTAGTAATGACAGGGCAAGGAAACCCATTGGTGTGCGGATCATCAGCAAAAACTGGTTTAGAAAAATGATATTCCCAAGCTTCACTTTTAGGCTTCCAACTTGTGTCGGATTTTTCTGTGTTATCTTTCAACTGCTCTAAACAGTGACCTAAAAACTCATGAGCATCCTTCTGTTCATTGCCATGGAATATCTCTGCAACTGCTGACATGACTTTTTTAATATTCAAAAGCAACATCTCCTTGATTTCTATATTATAAATATCTTTAAAAAAAAGCAGCTGTGCCAAACTCATGGTAAGAGCATTAAGAGGAATTTTACTCAATGGGAAACCCCGATTAAGTATATTATTAGCAAACGATGGAATTGAAAATAAAGACTGTAAAACTGCATTCATATAACAGGTGTTTCCCAAATTGGGGAGGCCGTGGCATAGTTTCTCTGGAAACAATTCAAAAAATAGTTTTAATTTGTCCCACTTTGAGTAATCCTCACTATACCCTGGTTGTAACACAAATGCCAAAATCACTTTCTCAGTGAGCGCTTGAAGGAGACCAATGTCATCTGGGTAAGGATTTCCAGTAGTGTTAATGATGCGTGAAGATTCATGTTCCAATTTCTTTTTCTCTTCTATCTCTTTTAACTTCAGTTGTTTCTCTTGTTTGTAGCTTACACACCTCAAGCGATCTGCCTTGGATTTCTTGTATTCTACAGAATTATTTTCTTTCAAGAATTCCTCACTCATCTCTGAGCTAGACAAGAGTGTTATTTTCCTCTTGTGTTGCTTTTCTAATAAATTTCTGCATGCAGTAAGTGCTGACGATTTTGATTTAAGCAAAGGCATCCTCTGAAGGACACCTGTCCCACTACCTTTTGCTTTCTCAAAAGATTTGTGACTTGATTTCTCACCAACTTTGCGGAATGAAGTTTTGTTGATTTTCTTCTGTGGTGTTGTGCTAGAAAAGACACTCCCACCTTTATCAGGTCTCACAGGTGGCCGAACCTTCTTTTGATGTAAGCTGTCCAGGAATATCTTCAACATTTCAGCATCTGTGGAGGATAATCCTTTAACAAACAAGAATTTATTATTTTTTAAAGTTAAATGCAGGTGATTTTGGTTTCCTCTATAGGATCCAAGGACTACATTTCGAATATTATCAGTTAGCAGAAAAGTCACATATTTTCCAGTTTTGAAATAGAGCACCAGTCTAACTTTCTTCTGTATTTCCATTGTTCCAATGAATGCTTCTTTTGATTTAGACATACCAGTCCTGGAATTCCATATTTGGACAAAACCGTGTATCATTTGGGCAGCCATGTTTTCATATATGTATCTTCGATTATTGATAATCTTGAAGTTCCAATCTGTTTTGCAAGTTCAGCTGTGGAGACAACACCAAAGAAATGGTTCATTAGTTCTCTATACAGAATGATCCTATTTCTACTATTGGTTTTATACTAGGGTCTAGTTCAGGTTCTAGATATCCAGCTCTTCATTTATGAGATCAATGCCTTTTGAGAGCCTTCCACAGTTGCATGAAGGCAGAGTCTTGATTCTCAAGACAAAATCACTATGGGAAAAATCAAGAAATGTTATTTAAACTATTACAGAAGTGCTTGGCTTGGACAAAACTCAAACTCCACACTCACATACTACATCTAGTTTCCACCAAAATATTGGGCTCCCTTCTGATTAATTTCCCCACTTCAATTGAAATCAAGAAACACTTGGAAGACTTTCAGTACATAACTGGAAAAGTATACTCAATAGAGTCTCAAGTGCATGAATACAATATACACTACTCTTCAGGTTACAGAATGACCCCACAGGAGAACTATAATAAGTGAATAAGAAAGTGAAGGCACCAAGAGGCCCTGAACTCAGTAACAGACAAAATCTTCCTTGATGTCTAGAGGATCTCATGGGCCCCTCAAAGTAAATCAAACTACCTCCTTCAAAATCTAGTTATGTTCCAACATTTCACTTGGCACTGGGGAACATCACTGCATTATTCCCACCTACTGACAAAAGTTTAAGAATAACAACTTCTTACCTATCAGATATAGGCTAGTGAGGCTCCTGCAGCCAACTCTGGACATAAGGCCCACCTAACCAGAGTTAGTTCCCTGTATTCAAAACCAGTGGGAAAGAATCAGATGTATTTAGTCATGGAAAATCAGAATCTCTGAACAACTCTGGAGCCAATGTGAATTACTGAATAAGTTAACAGATAGCACTACAAATATTTGCATCAGAAAGTATACATCCAAGAATTAGCTGGAAGTTGTTTCCTCCTCAATAAATAGTCTTCCTGAATCTTCTCTATTCTATTAACTTGCTTAAGTAAACACTGTCATTACGAATAATACTGCAGGAAACTTCTGTTCAGTCTCTGTTCAAATTATTAACATATCAAAATTGGTGGAACATAAATTAATGAGATTTTTGTTTTATAAAGCATTTCATCTATCAACCTATGTTCAGGGAAGTAGGGATGGCATCCATCCATATACAAAAGTGCATATGCATCCAAGTAAGAGAATGATGATATTTTTCATGGTAGAAATGGGGCCATAAAAGCATTCAAGCACAGCACAAATTTAAGTTCTCTGGATAATTTATATTTCACTGTCCTACTGTAGATGCTAAGTAAGTTAAACAATTTCCTCTCCACAGAAAAGGCAGTCTTAATTGTTCTGTTTTTTTCCAAATTTATTTATTTGATTGAATTTTAGGTTTTGGGGTACATGTGAAGAAGATGCAGAATTGTTGCATAGGTACACATGTGGCTTTTTATTTCAACAACTTGAGAGAACCTGCAACTATAGAACCACTTGCAGCCTATTTAAGTTTTACAATCCCAGCTCATCTGTATTTATCAAAAATTATTATCTTCTTTCTACTGGTAGCTGAAATAATCTAAGACCCTCTTGATTTCTTGATTTCTTCTCTCTGCCCTCAAAAATACAGTTAAGAGACATGCCTTCCTCACAGTCAATCCTGCCTACATTTCACTCCAGATGAAAGGAGGCTTATTTGAGCCCACTGAGCATGGAAAGTAAAGATTAAGAACCATATTGCTGATGTACAGGCTGAGTGGTCTGACCACTGCCTACTTCCTTAGGACATCTCAAGCTTAAATCCTGTTCTTTATTCTGCCTTGACTGCTTGCTTTGAGAGTCTTTTAAACTAAAATGCATTGTTTCCCCAAGACTCCACAGAAGAGCACTATATAACTTGTCCATGCAGCCTAAAATAAACCTCAGCATTCCTCCTCCCTTGTCACCCCCACACCAGATTCAAAACAAATAGATGACAGCTGTGTTCAAAAGTTATGAAAGCCAACATGCGTGTCTCTCATTTTACCTACAAACTCAAACCATTCAATTTGACTTATCAACTACTAGTGCAACACTTCAGACTCAAAGTGGTGTCAGATTTGGAGGCATGAACTATGGTGCCAAGCAACCGGTTGTGCAGAAAAAAAAAAAAAAAAAAACCTAACAGAAATGTCTGCTCCATTATTAATTTACTCATTCACTCTACGTTGATTTCATGGTCACTGAGAAAGTTGCTGAGCATCTGCTCTATGCTCCCTGCATATTATGATTTGCTGAGTATCTGCTCAATGTTGGGTACTGCACCTGATGCTCTCAGGGACACAATGGATGTGAAGATTCACTGTACCTAAACGATTTAGACTCTAAACATCACTGTGTAAATGTCACAATAAAAGACGGGACTCCTCTAATTTAAGGAAGGTTTGTGTTGCCTTTGGAGTATTTATCCTCTGTATACTGCATTTATATCTCCCACCACTCAGGCTTTCATTATTTCAAGAGGTAGAAGAACTTGAAGACAAATCCTTATACACCTTTCAAATCTGAATTTGCATTTCTGAATCCCAAAGTGTATATTACAAAAGAGTCACAAAGAGAAGAAAATGAGACAAAAAAATTATTGTCTTTCAAGTATTTTGGTGAAACAGATGATGCTTTAAGAAGACAACCATTTGTAGGCCGGGCGCGGTGGCTCAAGCCTGTAATCCCAGCACTTTGGGAGGCCGAGGCGGGTGGATCACGAGGTCAAGAGATCGAGACCATCCTGGTCAACATGGTGAAACCCCGTCTCTACTAAAAATACAAAAAATTAGCTAGGCATGGTGGCACGTGCCTGTAATCCCAGCTACTCAGGAGGCTGAGGCAGGAGAATTGCCTGAACCTAGGAGGTGGAGGTTGCGGTGAGCTGAGATCATGCCATTGCACTCCAGCCTGGGTAACAAGAGCGAAACTCCATCTAAAAAAAAAAAAAAAAAAAAGAAGAAGACAACCATTTGTTTTGAAAAGTTTAGAGGGAGCTTTGGCCTAGAGGCAGATTAATAAACTCTAGAAGGCTCGTAGGCTCAATGACTATGAAAAAGTAACATTTCTATGTCATTTCTCCTCTGCTGACATGAGTACAAACTGTCCTCAATTATATAGAATTGAGTGTGCATTTATCTTACTGAATAGGCGAGGGTCAAGATATATGGCAGTGTGGTACAGGTGGTGTGTTTTAATTATCTTTTTTTTTTTCACTTCTTGAAAATATATGAAGTAAAAGAACAAAGATATACTGAGAAATCCTGCCATGTTACTTAAGCAAGTCTCACTGAACAGAAAAGAAGTACCCATGAGGTAGTGTGTCAGCCCAAAAATGCAGTAAGTTAAAAGACAGAGCCAGGTAATGACATCATGAGTTTCTAACCATTTCTGGGTATCTCCAGTAATCCCAAGTGAGGGTTTTGAAAAACAAAACAACTTCAACTCACATTTATTTTAAACTACACTTAGCTTAGTGATCTTGGACGAGCCAATTCCTCTATTAGGGCCCATTAAACAAATCGGGAAACATAAAACTCTCTTTGAAGACTCTATTCCGTGAGACTACAAGTACAAAATGCTTAAACACATTCGACTTCCCAGGACAGGCCAAATAAAAGATACTTTCTCCAATGATTAGATGATGTGCACTAAATCTAGACTTGGAACCCAGGGGCACAATGCAAAAAACTATATATGGAAGGATGGGTAGGGTAGGAATATTCTAGGTTTGGCAACTGGGAAAAGAAGATATTCAAAAGCCAGCAAGCATCCATTTATTCATTAAATAAATACGTATGGAGTACTAGAAAGCATTACATTAAGCTTTAGGTATAGAAGAATGAAAAAACCCACAAAATTCATGCTCTCAAAAAAATTTAATTCTAGCAGGGGGATAGAAAAGACAGTACATACACACAAAATATGGAGAACACCAGATGGTGGCAACTGCTAAACGAAACAAAGTTAGAGGAGGCGGGGTGCAGTGGCTCCAGGCAGGAGGAAGAGTGAATGAAAAGGCCCTCAGGTGAGAATGGGCTTGGCATGTTGGAAACAGAAAACAGGCCAGGATGAACCTGGAAACCATCATTCTTAGCAAACTGACCCAAGAACAGAAAATCAAACACCGCATGTTCTCACTCACAGGCGGGTGGTGAACAACGAGAACACATGGACACAGGGAGGGGAGCTCTACACACTGGGGTCTATTGGGGGGAAATAGGGGAGGGACAGTGGGGGGTGGGGAGTTGGGGAGAGATAGCATGGGGAGAAACGCCAGATATAGGTGAAGGGGAGAAGGCAGCAAATCACACTGCCATGTGTCAACAATCTTGCGTGTTCTTCACATGTACCCTAAAACCTAAAATGCAATTAAAAAAATTAATTTTAAGAAAAGATTTGAAGAGAAAGAAGTTGTGGAAGGTTTGTAAAACAGCAGGAGACTGAATGGACTAGTAACCTTGCTGAGCAGCACCAAGGGCTGACTTAAGCTAGTAGTCATATATTTACAGCAAGGCCAATCTGCTATTTTTTTCCAGCCCCGTTTAGCTGTCCAGTAGTCATAGCCCAGGTGTGTAATAGGCAGAGCCTTGAATTTAACTTGCTTGAAATGTTGCCATTCATAAGTAACCAAGAAAGAGGAAAATGGGAGCTGAAGGTATCAAGAAGAAAATGATTTAAGTACGGAACCAGAAAGGGTGGAATGGAACAATGAACAGAAACACATGAAAAGGCCTAAATATCATAAAATGCTACGGAGTAGGGGAGAAGCATCAGGGGACTAGGAGGCCAGCTCTCATTTCAGCAGCTATAATTCTGGCCCCTGCTTCTAAGCAGCTGTCAACTGCTTGCAGACTTCCTTCTATTCTCCTCCCACCTTCCTTTCTGTTTTTCTATTCATTCTCATCCTGGCTCCAAAGCTGGAAGTAAATAATGGGAATGGAAGTGGAGAGTTGAATGTTAGAGGCTGGGTTAGAGGCAGACAAGATCA